ATATATATATCCTATCCTTTGCAGCAACATGGATGGAACTGGAAACCATAATGTTAAGTGAAGTAAGACCGGCACAAAAAAATAAATACTGGCATGATATCACTCATATGTGGAATCTGAAAAAAAAGAAAAAGAAAGAAAAGTGGCTGTCATAGAAGTAGAGTGGATTAATGGTTACAGAGGCTGGGGGGTGGGGAGGAAAAGTGGTGGACTAATGTTACAAAACTATGCTATCTACCCTAAGTGATTCATTGCACAGTATATGCACGTATTGAAACAAAACACTATACCCCCAAAATATGTACAAGTAAATGTTTAAATATTTTGAATAAATTAAAAATAAATAAAAGAAATGCTGAAGAGAAATGATATCAGAAGAAAATTTCAGGCAGAGCAACAGAAATGGTAAATATCTTGGTAAATCTAACTCAATATTTCTCCCCTTCTAAATTCTTTAAAATAAATATCATGGTTGAACACAAAAAACTATAACATTGGTGGGATTTTTCGATGTATGTAGATATAATACATATGAACACTATAACATCAAGGGGGAGGAGGATAAAGGGTTCAAGATAGTTTTAAGTCTTACATGTTTTATGTGAAGCCATAAAATATCAGCTCACAGGAGTCCACAAAAAGTTAGGTATGTATAAAAAGGTCCCACAGCAACATTAAAACAAACAAAACAAAAAAAAAAAAAAACCAAAGTTATATAGCTAAAAAGGCAATATGTAAGTAGAGAATACTAAACAATATTCAAATAACCCAAAAGAAAAGTGGTAACATAGGAACAAAGACAAACAGAAAAGTAATAAAATGGTAGATCTAAATTAAATCCTATCAATAATTACATTAAATAAATATAAAATTAAATAATTACATTAAATATAATTTAACTACATTAAATTAAATTACATTAAATATAAATAGGGGCTGGCTGGTTAGCTCACTTAGCACAGCATGGTGCTGATAACACCAAGGTCAAGGGTTCAGATCCCCTTACCAGCTAGCCGTCACAAACGAATGAATGAATGAATGAATAAAATGTAGAGTCTAAACTCACTAAGGACAGTGCAGATTGTTTATAAAAACATGACCCAATTATATGCTGTCTACAAGAACCTCACTTTAAGCATAATCATAGAGACTGAAAAGACAATAATGAAAAAATATACCATGAAAACACTAATCAAAAGATAGCTGAATTGTTTATAAAAACATGACCCAATTATATGCTGTCTACAAGAACCTCACTTTAAGCATAATCATAGAGAGAGACTGAAAAGACAATAATGAAAAAATATACCATGAAAACACTAATCAAAAGATAGCTGATAGGAATGTTGGCATGGATATGAAGAAATTAAAGTCCTTGAGCATTTGGTAAAATGAGAAGGTAAAATGGTGCTGTCACAGTAGAAAACAGTATGGCAATTTGTCAAAAAATTAAATATAGAATCCAAGTTGATCCAACAATTCCACTTCTGGGTATATACACAAAACAATTGAAAGCAGAGACTCAAACAGATATTAGTATACCAATGTTCATAACAGCATTATTCACAATAGCCCGAATGCGGAAGCAACCCAAATGTCCACCAATGGATGAATGGATAAACAAAATGTAATATATATGTACAATGAAATATTATTCAGCCTTAAAAAGGAATTAGGGCC